GGGTTTGACTCGACGGCACATAACAACAACAACAGTCCTATTCTAATGATTCTAGTCCCCCCTTTTTTTAAGGGGGAAAAAAATCAGATGAAAATGATCACTGGTGGATTTAGGGAAGTTAACCCGAGGTCCTGATTTGTATTCAGTGCTTGTTATTGTTGTTGTTAAGAGTCACTGAGTCGGCTTTGACTCCTAGCGACCCCAGGTACAAAAGAACGAAACACCGCCTGGTCCTCACACTCTCTACTACCCTGCCAGAGCCCATCGTTGCAGCCACTGTATCAGTCCATCTCCTTGAGAGTTGTACCTTTGTTCGCTGACCCTCTACTTTACCAAGCATATCCTTCAGTGCTCAGTCCACTTAAATGACGGTACTTTTTTGTATTTTTTCAAGTACCACATTGCATTTTTGGTCCTTTGCAGAAATGCATTTCTGTACATACCTACTTTATGTAGGCTAATGTTATTAAATTGTTTTTTGGAGTTTCAAATAGACTTTAAAAAAAAATAAGTTTTAGATTTACAGAAAAATTGGGGGGTGGTAGAGGCATCCCCATATACTCCAGACCCAATTTTCCCTATTATTAACATCTTATATTAGTATGGCACATTTGCTACAATTAGTGAATAAAGCAATACTGCTGCAGCGTTATTAATTAAGGTGCTCTGGTGGCACAGTGCCTACAGCATTTGATTGCTACCCAGAAGGTTGGCGGTTCAAACCCACCAGCCGCTCCGCGGAAGGAAGATGGAGTAATCTACTTCCATAAAGATTTACCACCTCAGAAACAACTGAAAAACCAAACCAGTTGCCACTGAGTCAATTCTGACCCACGGTGACCCCGTATGTGTCGGAGAGGAACTGTGCTCTGTGGATAGCGTTTTCAGTGGCTGATTTTTTCAGCAGTGGATCATCAGACCATTCCTCTGAGGCGCCTGTGGGTGTACTTGAACCTCCAACCCTTGGTTAGCAGCCGAGCACTTAACCATTTGTGCCACTCAAGCATTCCATTAATGATGAAAGTTCTTACTTTATTCAGATGCCCTTGGCTTTTGCTTGTCTTTTCTATTCCTGGATCCCACCCACCATACCACATTACATTTAATTTTCATGTCTCTTTGGTTGCTCTTGACCACGACAGTGCCTCAGACATTGCTTCTTATTGATGACCTTGATCGTTTTGATGTTAGCATTTAAAATACATAGAACCCTGGCAAATAAGGGAAAGAACGGACAGAGCCTCGCCTCTACATTTCTTGACATTCTGCCTGTAGTTGGCTGGTTAATTTAACATTTAATTGAAAGTACAATCATGGGAGAAACCTTTCTTTCCCCAGAGTAGACAAAAGGCCACATTCTCTATGCTTGTTAATAGGAAAGTCTTGATTTCCCCCACCCCACTCCCAAACGGTTGGGAAACCTGTAATAGGAAGTTTGTCTCCTGTCCAAAGAACTGTAAGGACAGGCTAGGCTCATCAGCACCACCTGTCCTCACCCCCTGTTCCCCTTCCCCCAAGTGGACTGGATTGTTTTAGTTGCTTGCTTGGGCTCTTCACTAACAGCTGTTTGCTGCATATTTTGAAGTCTCTCTGTTCTTTTAGAACACAAGCCTAATTTATCTGGCCTCTCAGCAGCACTGTGATTACTGAGCTGTTGCTGTTCCCTTCTGCTCAGTCTTTTTTCGTTTGGGGAAAACTCAGTAAAGCCAAAGGATCACAATTTTAGGATCACAATTAGCATTTGTTTCTGCGTTCCATCTTTCTGAAGTTTCTACAGTTGCTGAAATGTTCTCACTTGGAGAAGTTCAGCAGTATGAAGGAAGCACAGAGCAGGAAATTCTCACGCTGAGAATGAACATGCTCAGAACTGAGGCTGTAAAAAGTATAACTGTAAAGTAAGGTGGCTTTTCAATGAATACACCTGAGTGGCTGTATCCAAATGAGTTATCCCCTTGAAAGTGGTCTGCTGGGAGGCTGAGCATTTTTTGCAATGAATACTGCCTTTGCTAGTGTGCTCAGGATTTTCATTTTGGATCATCTTTTTAATCTTCTGACACATTCTTTTGATTTCTCTTCATCACGGTAAATTTTCATTTTGGGGGTACATTTAAGAACCATTTACAAGCTGTTCAGAGCAAAGTCGGGGAGAGGGGATAAGATGGCAGGAGGAAAGTAGGTAATCTCATTTTTTATATAAACCTCAGATATGATATAATGGGACTGACTTTGGTACATGACTGTAAACTAGCCATTAAGTGTTACCAAAGAAGCATGCCAAAAACTGAAAGATGGAAACTTTGATAGGATAAGAGTGTGCATTCCTAAGGTGGAGAGATGATTGAGTACTCTGAAGGAGAAAATTCATATACTCATTTTAGCTGATTGACACCGTAGTAGTGTTTGAGATCCACCTTAGGTGTGCATCACAATTTCCTGTAGAACTTAAAAACATACACACGGATGCCTAGCCCTCATCCCTTCTTAACTGAGTCACAGTCTTAGGAATCGGGGTCCAGGTAGGTGTTCTTTAGAACAGTTCCACCAAAACTTTTCTGAGGGCACCAAAAGTTAAGGACCCTTACTTTAGCTTGCACCTCATATATTCTTTGGAATATAGACTTGACTTTTGCACGTATTATGCTTGTTTAAGTAGGAGAACATACTTGACTCCGAAAAGAAGCCATAATATTTAAACAAAAAGATGTTCTTATTTCTTTCATTCAAAGGAATCCCCATCTTTGGCACTTAGAACTACTTCAAACAAACTGTCCTTTTCCTGGATAGCATTTATCACACACAACTGAATACTTTTATCAGTCTTCCCCACTGGAATGAAAGTTCCATGAAGATGGACCCTATCTATTTTGTTGGTCATGTTGTCCTCAGGGTAGTACCTGGCCCATAGTAGCCACTCAAGAAGGAATGAATGGATCAGAAATAAATCTTAATGGATCATGATTTAAAGTAGGCCTGAACCTGAGCTTACCTTAGTGATTTTGAAATATAGGAGCTCTGGTGGCGTAGTGTCTGAAGCATTTGACTGTTAACCAAAAGGCTGGCGGTTCAAACCCACCAGCCACTCCTCGGAAGGAAGGTTGGGCAATCTACTTCCGTAGTAATACTGCCTCAGAAACCCAAGGAAGGGTCGCTATGAGTCCGGTCCAACTCGACGACATGTAACAACAACCGTGCTCTATAGCCACCAATATTTATCGAGTTATGATTTACAGCACTAAATGGTCAAGGGACTTAGTTACAAATTCCAGCTCTTCCGTTTCTAGTGTTGACCTTGAATGCTTCACCTTTCATCCTCTGTTGCCTCATTTCTAAGAAGAGATGGTTAATCTAAAGGATTGCTGAAGTCCTCTCCAATTCTGAAAAGTCTGTGGTTCTAAGTGCCAGGTATTATGCCAAGTATAAGAAATGGCTCCAAAAGCAGCCCCTTTAACAGAATAATGAGTATTTTGAACAGGTATATGTTGTTGTTGTTGTTATGTGCTGTCAAGTCGGCCCCAACTCATAGCGACCCCTCCTAGGGTTGCTGAGGCAGTATCACTACGGAGGTAGATTGCTCAACCTTCCTTCCGAGAAGTGGTTGATGGGTTTGAACCACCAGCCTTCTAGTTAGCAGTCAAATGCCTTAGGCACTATGCTACCAGAGCTCCTGGACAGGTATATAGGGTGAACATTTGCATCAGGTAGATATACTCCTTAGAGCCATAGATCATGGGAGAACAGAAGGGCATTGTATGCACAGGGAGATAGCTGAGGGAGGAGGACAGGAATGCATAGGAAATAAGGACACAGGGGAGAGGTAACTACAGGGAAGAGGTGGGAAGAGAGCTGTTACACTGTGGTGAATTGCAGTCAGTGTCATGAAACAAAATGTGTATGAGCTGCTGTATGGAAAATGAATTTGCTCTGTATACTTTCACCCAAATCACAATTTAAAAAAAAAAAAGTAATGAGTATTTTGGTTATGAGACTCATTTTCAGCTGTTTAAATACACAGTTTATCCATTGATGAGATAACTTGCTAAATTTCAAGTGAACCCCTAAGTCTAGAACTGCATGCCCAAGGACAGGAATAAACATAATAACCATTATGTATTTTCAATAGGGATGGTGTTGTGTTTGCCAAACAAATTCTTTTCCTCCTCTGGATAAAGGGAATATTTTTATAGCTGCAAATTGGGCAACGTACATCTGTCCTGTGTGGCAGACTGTTGTGTTTGCTGAGTGACTGGGGCAGAGAAAAGTTAAGAGTGTGTGAAAAGCGAGAAAGGAAAGGCTGTGAAATTTTTAACAGTTTTTAAATTTTTCATCCAGCACTTAGAACAAGAGAAACATGAACTGAGAAGACGATTTGAGAACCGAGAAGGAGAGTGGGAAGGGCGAGTGTCCGAGCTTGAGAGTGACGTGAAGCAGCTTCAGGATGAGTTGGAAAGGCAGCAGGTGCACCTGCGGGAAGCAGATCGAGAAAAAACGCGGGCAGTGCAGGAACTGTCCGAGCAGAACCAAAGGTTACTGGATCAACTCAGCAGGGTGAGTCATGAGTTCAGAAAAGAATTTATGGTGCAGAATATTCTAGAAGTTGAAACAGAGCTGCTGTGAAATGCCAGTCATGTAGATGGTAACAGCAGTTGTGGTTTTTGTTGCTTTTGGGTTTGACCTCAGCAAGTTAAGTGTCTTCCACCTGGAAGAAGTGTGCTGAACTAGGAGCCAAGACTAATCCTTGTCATTAACCAGCTATGAGACTTTGACAAATCACTTAAAAGTTTTCTCACTTGTAAAATGAAAGAGTTGTGCTTAATGAGTGCTGACAATCCTTACACCTCTAGAAGTCCATGATGACTTTACCTAGAGAAACCTTGTCACTGGGAAAATTATCTGAATGCACTTAGTTCACATATTAAAGGGTGCCATCTTTAAAATGAAAAGCTCAGGGACAATTTCTACAGCAGATGATTTTCATTCATGTTATATTCGTGAGTGTACATTCTTTCATGTTATTTAAATGTGATAGGCGTGTGTGTCTCTATATTTAAAATTCATTTTTTTTTAATTTCCACATTAAGTAAAAATTCTTACTTGTGCCTGTATAGGGTCTGTCATGGAAGTATTAGTTAACCAAGGTCAAGAATATAAAATCATTGCAAAGAAGGGGGTTGGCACCTGAATAAGTGGAAATCTAATTTAAATACAGAACATACCTTTTTAACAAATGCAGGAATGTTGTTAATGTCCTGGTCTCTAACTCAACCCACTGTTGGAAATGAAGAGCTGGATTTACTGTTGCATCTCAGTCCTTCCTGTTTGGTAGAAGTAGAACTGCTGACTTGAGTTAACAGAGAAAAGGAACTTCTGCTCTGATCTCGTCCCTAAGAGCCCAGGTTCTCACGAGAGTACTGCCTTGTCCACGCGTTAGTGTTTGGTGCTCAGATCTTTGGGAAATGTTAGCTAGATAGAGCAGCTTATAGTTGAACTCCTGGCTCTCCCACTCATTTGATGGGTGACAGAGTATGAAGTTGTTGAATTAGTATGTGTCACAGATGTTTCCTTCAGGAACTCTGAAACTGGTGAAAGCTTGTATGCCTCACAAGCAGTGGTGAAGTAAATGTTGGCCCTCAGAGACTGAAGATGGGGGAAGGGAGGAATAGCTAGTTGCAGGGAAAGTATCAGAGCATGAAAAAGGAGTGCTGATGGTACAGTGGTTAAGGTATTTGACTGTTAACCAAAAAGTTGGTGATTTGAACCCACCAGCCGATCCATGGAAGAAAGATGAGGCAGTCTGCTTCCATAAAGATTTATAGCCTTGGAAACCCTACGGGGTCGCCATGAGTTAGAATGAACTCAATGGCAGTGAGTTTGGTTTGGTTTTTATCAGAACATGTGAAGGTGAGAATTCAGATAGTAGTAAGTAAAGCTAAGGATCTTACCTGCATGTTTCGCACCCAGGAAATCAAATCATCTTCCCCTCTTTGATTGGGAAACAAGAGTTGGACAGTTTTTCAAGATTTCACAAGGCCAGCTCAGTAACAACATTTCTGACTCTGTTCTAAAACCTTTTCAGCAACTAGGAAGGGAATGTGTGTTCTTGGAAGATTTTATAGGATTTTGAGTCTTTTAATTCATTATTCATATAAAGTTAAACCAACCAGCTAGGCCTGACCAGATTGATTTACTTGTACAAAAACATTTAGTGAATACTCTGGACAAGAGTTTCTTATGGAAACTTAAGGAATGAATACAACAAACTAGAACAATTAAAGGGAAAATTAAGAGTTCTTGAGGACACAAAGTAGTGTAGGCAGAGCAGACTTAACCCTGCTCTCTGATCTGGTGAAAGGTAGGTGGCCAAGGGACAAGAAGGGAGAACACAGATCCTAACATGATTTAGTGGAAGATGACAGATGGGGCTTGGAATTTAGATCCATGTTGAATCTTAACTATGCTTCCAATTCACTGAGTAACTTTGTTTGTGCCTCACTTTTCCTGTCTTTACAATAGGGGTAAAATCTGTATTTCACACCAGTATTATTGAAATGAAAATGAGACCATGTGTAGTTCAGGAGCATATGAAGGCAAGGATATTTTTCATTGTTGATGGTTATTTTACTAAAGCAATATATGTATAGTTGAGGTTCCTTTGCCTATATCCTTTGTAGAAAAATCCTGATAAGCTGCTCCCAAGAGAATATAGGAGGATAACATTTCCTCAAGATCTAGATTCTTGTTATGCTCACTGGCCTTGAATGTGGGCCTTTGGTGAGTTCCATGGCCTTTTTCCCTTTCTCTTTTTAAACAGGACAAGCCCCTGGGGTTTCCATCAGCAACCAGTTAGATTGCATTTTATTATCCTTTTATTAACTGAGTATTCAGGAACTAGAGGAGTTGAGCACTTTGAGGTGAATTAAGATTCTCCTAAGACGATTCTGCAACTGGCGGAGGTAGTAGAAGGCCATGTTTTTCTTACAGTCTCTATAATGTGCTTTTTATAAGTATGACATGTATAATATCTAAAATGTAATACAATATTTCTGTGATGTTTTTGTCTGAAGTATTTTTACATATACTGTTTTCTTTGACTGCTATGGCCTCTAAAGTTCGTCTTCCTTTCTTTATAACAGTTTTATTGGTACATAATTCACATTCCATGAAGCTTGGCCTTTTAAAATGTACAATTCACTGGTTTTACTATAGGCATAGCATTGTGCAACTGTCACCACCCCCTAATTTTAGGTATTTCTTCCTCCAAAAAATAAACTGTATACCCACTAGCAGTCACTCCCATTTCACCTAACCCCTAGACACTGTCAACCACTAAGGCTTCATTCTCTATGGATTTGACTATTCTGGGCATTTCATATAAATGGAATCATCAATATGTGGTCTGTTGAGTCTGGCTCCTTTCACTTAACAAGCTTCATCCGTGTTGTAGCATGTATCAGTACTTCATTTCTTTTTATGGCTGAAGAATATTCCATCATATAGATATACCACATTTTGTTGTTCCATGCATCAATTGATGGACATGTAGGTTCTTTCTGCCTTTTGGCTACTGGGAATAATGCTGCTGTGAACAGTTATGTACAAGTTTTTGTGTGGCCAAGCTTTTGCAGCTCTAAAGTAGGGTGCTATGAGCATATGGAACCATGCACGTCTGCATCCTCATTATGATGAAGATAGGGGTAGGTGTGTTCCTTATTTTACAGCTGAGAAAACTTGAGGGACAGAAAGATAGGTGGCTTGAGTAAGTATCTTTCAGTTCAAGATTGATTTGAGTTTTCATACCTCAATTTTAAATTTCTGAGGCAGCCATTAAGAGCAAGGTTCTGGAGCCAGACAGCCCTGAGATCAAACACCCGCTTTGCCTTTTCCTAGCTGGGAAAATATGGGGGAAGTTATTTTACCCTTTGAGGCCTCTGTTTCCTCTTCTGTGTAATGGAAACAATTATACCTTGCTATTTCCTAATAGTGTTGTGAGGACTAAATGCAAAAATACATGTGCAACTGTCTACCACAATGTCTAGCGTACAGTAAATACTTCATAAATGGTTGTTGTTGTTGTTGTGATATGCCGTCAAGTCAGACCCGACTCATAGTGACCCCTCGTTGGGTTTCCGAGGTGGTATCACTACGGAGGTAGATTGCCCACCCTTCCTTCCGAAGAGTGGCTGGTGGGTAGCCATCATAATTATCATTTTATCATCACGTAGATGTGATTTTTGTATCTGGTCCAGAATTGATCCTCTAATTTGATAAGAGAAAGCTCTGACGTGTCCTCAGCACCTGTTGTTTTTGTTAGGTGCTGTTGAATCAATCTCAACTAGCAAGTAAGAAATTGTTTTATTCCAAAAAGTCATGTGAGCTTTGCATCTTAATTCATAGCTGATCTGAGTGTTTTAACACAGAAATTTGTAAAAACGTTCTGTTTACTAGTTAAATGTCTATTCACAAATTTTTATGTGAAATTGATCCTTCTTGGAGTTGGGTCAGGAGCTGTGGTAGCATAGTGCCTAAAGCACTTGACTGCTAACCAGCAGGCTGGCAGTTCAAACCCACCAGCCACTCCTCGGAAGGAAGATGGGGCAATCTACTTCCATAGTGATACTGCCTCGGAAACCCAAGGAGGGGTGGCTATGAGTGGGATCCGACTCGATGGCAC